TGATTCATGTACATCAAAAAATGATTATAAATTCTCCTCTGTATTAAGAAATATTACAGCATATTTGTTTTTAAGGCTTTTAAGATACTCCCACTGTGCTAGTGAGAGCCAGGATTGCCAAATGTGCCAGCTTATGACACATCATTGACAGCATCAGTAAAAAAACCTCTTCACTTCTGCACATATAAAAGTGGTAGAATTTGTTCCTTGGTCTGATCCAGCTTAGGGAGAATTCATAGCTGCTCATAGTCTCTTCTACCTGCTGCCTGCCATCGTCCAGATATCTGGTTACATGTTTTTCCCTGTGACTTGCTAGTTTCTTGGAACAGAGACCATCTCCTCCTTCACTGAAAGGATGCCCAATGTAAAAGATGCAGCTACATTGAACAACAGTTCTGACAACAAGGGTCAACTTCAGCCCTCTGCTTTAGACTGGATTCAATCTTTTTTTTTTTTTTTTAACGAAACATAAGATGAGCTAAATTAGAAAAGCCTTATCAGCATACCCAGGTTTATGTATCTGCCTTTCAGCATTATAGAGCCCATTTTCTATGGAAGTTAAAGTGCATCTGCCAAATGGCTAGAGATGAAGTTTAACATCTTCTGTTGCTTTTGTCCTCTGTTTATTCTTCAGGATAAAAAAAAAAAACAAAACAACAAAAACAACAAAAGAACAACAACAACAAAACAAAACCCCGCATGTCCCTTGATACTTGGGCTTTCAAGATGCAGTAGGTAAATAATTAAGGCACAATATACTGTCAAAATACTTACCAAGAAACCTTACCTTATCTAAAGTTAAGCACATACTACAAAGATCTGTGTATGCTGACAGCTTGATCCTGTGGCATGAGAAACACCTCTTAAGCAAGGCAACTCCAAGAAATTAACCACGTAGCTATGTCACAAGCCAAAGGCAAGTTTTTCTTGCATCTTTCCTACAGATTACTTACACATACTGGCAAAAGAAAGTGTTATTGTTCCTACTTACTAGAGCACTTCTGCTGCACACATATATATATATACCTAGATAAACTCATACAGGAAGCACAGGCAAACCTAAACATGTTACAAAACAAACCCTGTAAATACAATAACTGATTTTTTTTTGCAAAATGAAGCAATTAATGCATTGATCATAAGACAGTGAGGTGCTTCAGTCAAATATATGGTTACTTTGAAATAGAAGAAATACATTAAGTCCTAACCTGTATCAAGGCTTAAATTGTGAGAAAAACATTGGCCTCTCAAACAAAATGAAGCTGTTCCCGCACTTCCACCTCAGCTAAAGATTCAAAATGGTTAAGTAATTTTTCTTTCACCAAGAATAACTTAAACAATTGTCCCTACAAATACAATTTACGTCTAGAGTCATAATTTTAATGTCTATGTTAAAATCTATAAACACCAAAACCTAGCAACATTAAAGTCACATGCTCACAAAATACTAATTTTAAAACAATCTGTAGCTGTTTATGTGATTCAAGAGGACCACCTAAAAAGCTTTGATTTTGTAAGCAGAGAAAGTTTGATGTGCTAGCCTAAGCAGGCACTGCAGCAAAAAAAAAAACCAAACCCTGGCAACCTAGCCACTGCTGGTTTTACTATGAAAAGCCATTCGATACATCTGAGCATGTTGAGCTATGTCTTATATCCCAACTAAAGTTTGCGTAAAGCTGCCATTTCACCTGGGAATCAACTGTACATTGATTAGAGAGATATTTAATAGAACCCTCTTCTCTCAGTCACCCAATACTGGGTGATTCCACATTCTTCAGGCACTACTTGCGTTTTTGATGTACCTGACTATAAAGTGCAGTAACTCCTGTCTCTGATGCTATAAGCTACTGAAAGCATAGCCCACATTATTTTCAAATATACATCAGTTAAAATTATCACAATCGTACTTTGAAGGTATATATAATGTGGATTCTGCACTATAATTTTACTGTTAATCAAGACAGTGTCAGATATACAAAACCACAAACAATGTGAACGATATACAGCTTCTCCTTTTGATGTGTTTGTAATCTATAACAAACTAACTCATTAGCATTTAGTTAGAATGTTATGTAATGGTTGAGGTATTTGTAATAAAAACAGTATTTATGTTAGCCTGTTCTTCACAGACATAAAAGCTGTCTTCGTGTGATTTTTATTAGGACTTCATCTTCCTCTGCTCTTTATGCATTTTTTAAGACTTCTGTGCACTCGGTTTTCATGTCACCAACACACACAGTATTATTTCCACCCACCTCCTCACAAAAATCTCAGCTTTAATTTTTACACCTGCTTTCATCCATGAGAAGTTTCTATGGGGTTTTGTGAAATCCAGACCCAAAAAATCCAAGGGCATGAAGCAGAGCAACAAAAAAATTTCCTACAGAAGATGAACAACTGGTTCTACCAGTAGAACACCACTGGCAGTCCCGTCATTACAAGCCCAGCATCCATCCCCAACTAGTGGAAAGGTGGCGTATTTTCAGGGTGGAGGCGTTTTGTGGTTGTTTTGGTTTTTTTTGTTTTGTTTTGTTTGTTTTGTTTTAAACTCAAGCCCTCCATTACTGTATACAGCCTCTGAAGATACCCCACTCCTCCTTCAACAGAAGGAAGAGGTACGTTTCTTTCTTCATTCACATCTCTAATATGCTAAACAAGGGTTTACTCTTTGCAAGAGCTCACTATAAAGGGTTTAGTCCTTATGTAAGCGCTACCTTTTTCTTTTTATCTTCACATCTAAGCCTCTTATGTGCAACACCCTTATATGGTATTTAGACCACATTTTCCACCCTCTCTCCACTTTCACATCATTCCTGCTAGCCTGGAAAATATTCTGGAACAAAAGGCTTGCACTTTCAGTAACCTAGGACACCTGGCTGAAGTCAACCCCATACAACATACCCGCTGCTTTGACTTTTGATTCTTTCTCTTATTGACATACACCATTAATTCAGACAGAACAAAACCTACGTGACAGCTACCTTCAGAACTGCATCATTTCTTCCTTGATTGTTGTGGCCCATTTCACTTTCCCCAGTAGACTTCAGGATGTGGGGAAACAGGACCTACAGAAGATGCATACCATAAATCTGTACCATTGAACAAAGACTCCAGCCACTAAGTTAAAACTGTAGAGTGATGCAACTATTCTGCACTACAAAAAGCTAGGGTTCCTGTTATGAAGTCTAAATGACAGTAAAGATATCATAAATTGCTACTAAACTGCAAAGAGACAAAATATTTATAATACTAAGACTCACAGAAGACACTCTGCATTTATTTATACATATTTTATAGGCTATTATTTACCAAAGCAATAAAATTTACGCAGGAAACACATACACTAAGGCAGAACTCTAGGTAACAGACACACACACAGAGGCCATAACCCTAGTCTCCGCACACAAGCACTGGCCTGAGAGAACTAAATTCTCACTTCAGTTCAAACAGACACCTCTTAAGCACACATCTCCACCAACGCAGTTGTACTCCTCACACACTAAGCACAATGTTCTGAGGGACAAACTGCCTTTTCACTGAACATTCACCAAGTTCAGAGAAGTCCCAGAACTTTGAGATTCCTTAATCCCAAGAAGACTGTAGCACCACTGCACTAAACCACCCCAAAATTACTGTTGAAGAAAAAGGCTCTAGACTATGTAATTCAGAAAAAAATGAGTTATTCAGCTCCTGGCAGTCAGTATTAAATGGTAATCCTTTTGTTTCTCACTGATGGACAAATGAGATCATGTCCTGTTTCCTCCCCCCTTCAAAAGCAGTTTCTTGTCTGAGCAGAGCTCTTAAGACCAGACAATGGGTAGGCCTGATGCCTCACTGCAAAAGAAATGAAGCTATTAAAAATTTGAATACTATTCCTTCTGTTGGAAATTCTGCTAATTTCTAATAATGTACCCATCTGAACCCTGTAATCAAAAAACAACTAGGAAAAATTATCCTTCCTTAATGACACAGTCTAAAAACTTTCACAAAGGAACAAGCTTACAAAACACGTGTGAGAATCAAAAAAAAAGAAAGAAAGAGAAAAAAAACAAAGTGCTCTGTTCGATGCCCCCTTCCCCATAAAGAGGGCCTGAACTGGAAAGTATCTGAGCCATCTTTAGCCCCAAGATTTTCAATCTCTGCATGGCTACCATTATGCCCACTGCAGACTTAGCTGCCTGAATTTTAGCCGTGTCATCTAACCATGCTCTCACCATCCTTCAAGCGCTAACAATAAGAACACCCCTGACCCTACTCACTCTACCCCTACAAATATTGTCCCTAAGAGCAGAAACAGTACCTTCCTGAACGGTGCTTCACTCAGTCCTACATCAAAACACTCAGGAATAGTACATCTCAAGAACTGCGGATGAATACTTCAGAGTTAGAAAACCAAAGCGCTGCGCGCTGCATGTGCCTGCAGCACACGAAGGCTCCCCTCGCCCTACGTTTCTGGAGAAAGAATCACAGCCAAAAATCGTGAAGGCAAACGCACGGAAGGGACGGCACATGTCTCATGTAATCTCCCCAAAGACCCAGGCCGCTAAAGAAAAAAAGAGGAGAGGGGAAGCATCGCGACACGGACGAAAGGAGGGAGAGGGGGAGAAAAAAACAGCACATTCGTAAGCGCTGCCCTCAGCTGCCCCAGACACGGCAGCCCCCTTTCGCCGCCCGCGGGGGAGGCCCGGCGCGGGCGCGGCCGGCCCCAGGCGGCGATGCGGTGCGGCGCTGCCCAGGGGCGGGAAGCAGGAGGCCTGCGCGCCCGCCGCGGGCCCAGCGCTGCACCGCCCCTCTCCGCCCGACCGCGACGGGCAGTGGGATGCCGACCCCATGGTGCATCCTCTTCCCCGCCGGCCGAGGCCCAGCGCCGCCACCAGGCCGGGCGGAAGCCGCCCCCGCCCGGGGCCATGCGGCGCAGGCCGCTCTCCTGCTCCTCCCAGAGCCGGTCCGCGCCGCGGACCCACAGGGCGCTGCGGATGGAGAAGATGACGCCGGTTTACCTGGAGCGCAGCGCGGCGGGCCGGCGCTCCGGCCTCCCCGGAGACTCCCGGACTCGGCGAGGCCGCTACCGCTCCCGGCGCCGCGAACGCCGCGCCTCAGCCGCTTCCACACAGGGACCAAGATGGCGGGCGGCCAAGCCGGCGCCAACGACGTCTGACGTCACCGCGCCGCGCGAGCGCGCGCACCAGCTCGCCGGCTCCGCCCCCGCGCCCCCGCGCACGCAGCCCCGCCGTGCCGCAGTCCGGCGCGCTCAGCGTCCGGCGCGCCCCCTGGCGGCGCGGGGTGGCGGGCGGCGCCGCTCTCTGGCTCCCGTCACCCGTGTCACTGCACGCGTAGGGACCGGCAGCCCCCCGGGGGGCACGGGCGGGGACAGCCTCTCCCGGAGGGAAGCCCGGATGCAAGTACACAGCGCCCGTCCTTGGGTTTGCACAAAATCCCCCGATGAAGGCACCAGCGGGTGCAGCGGCAGGCTCTGCCTTCTCCCTGTGGGCTTCAGGGTTCCCAGGCAATGGTGAGCCCGCTTGACCATCTGGATTTGTCACTGTATATACAATTTTTAGTATAGGGCTGTGCCCTCTGCAATGACTAGGGGCACTGGGTACACCTGACCCCTCCACTGATAATAAACCATTAATAAAACCACTAGAGAAGACCAAATCCATGAGGTTTAGTTGTGACTACGAACTTTACCTCCCAAAGATATGCATCAGACACATAAAAAGACACATACAAAGATCTCTACATCTAATGTTTCAGAAAAATCTCAAGGTGTTGTGGATTTTGATGAAATTTCATAGAGGAAGCTCTGGATGAGGAAGGAGGAGGGAATGCTGGCAACATGGACACCAGCATGTCCCAAAATGCCTCTTCCCAAAAGCCCTCTGGAGATCCAGCCTGGTGCTGATGCAATGTGGGCACAGATTGCGGCACGTTTGGGGTAAATGCTCTGCATGGCCCTTGGTGGGTGTGAGACACTGTGAGCAGGAGGCCAGACAACGGACAGCACCGGCATCTGAGCTCCTGCCAACACTGGGTCAGCTCCAGCCACACTGACAGCACCCAGCAGCAGCACAGCTTAGCACCATCCACAGCTCACCCAGGACCAGGTCACACCAGGTTTCTTCTACGGCTGGGGACCTGCCTGGGGGCTCCAGCCCAGCCGAGGGTACTTAGAAAAGAGGAAACCTGCCATGAGAGCCACTGGCAGGACTAGGAGGCACATCCAGTGGCAGCTGGAGGAGCTGTTGGAGCAGTCATCCACCACCCGAGTTCTCAAGGGCTTCAGCGTCCGCTGCCATTGAGTCAGGATGGCGTCTCTGGCCCCTCTCCACTTCCCCTGTCCCACCAGTCGGTACTGGTAGGGTGAGCAGGGGCCAAAGAAGATGGCCAGGGCCAGCTGGGGGTCCGTCAGGAGCAGCTTCAGCACACTGGGCTTTATGCCAGCACATGAAGCAATTTCATCGATGTAGCTGATAAAACTCATCTTCAAGTTCTTCCTTTCAGATGGATTACTTCAATTGGACATAAAACAGACAAAATCAAATAGCATCATCCCATCACAGTTCCCAGTTCCATGGAAAGCAAAAGCTCTGGACTCAGACACTGACCGAGCCCTGGTGTTCAGGGCTGAGCTCACTTAGCCCCAAATAAACCTAAAGGCACTGAAAGAGCCTCTGTGGGGTAGGTCCTCAGTAGTTACCTGGAGCAGGGAATAAGCAGAAGCTCACTCTTTCTCTGCAACCTAATTGTGGTCTCAAAAAACTGTTCTCACATGATACTGGCATCATTGTAATGCCACAAATGCCGATGCTATGTCCTTCACCAAGGTCCACAGGTGTGGATTTGGCCAATTTTGAGAGGCAGAGGAGTAGACATTCACAGGTAAGACTGACAAGGGGACTGGGAGAATCTGGGAGATGCAGAAAGCTTCCCATGCTGGGAGGGACGTCCAGGATTTTTCTGCTCGAGGCCTCATCTCCCTTGCAGGAGGGAGGACATGTGCTGAATCTACTTCAACAAATCTGGGACAGCCTCAACATTGGCTCTGTTGCACCTCAGACTCTTGTACTTCTGTGTAACAGCATTGCATCTGCAATCCCCAGGGCTCCTCCTGACAATCCCCATGCCTCTGTTTTCTCCCAGATTTTCATCAGTGTCCTATGAGCCAGCTCTGCGTTGCTGGCAAACCTAACCCAGCCTGCACCCCACCTGGCCTGAGGGCCCTTCCTTGCTCCTGAAAGCTGCTACAAGGCAGCATGTCTACCATCACTTTTCCCACAACCTCATGCACGTCTCCACCTCCTGTAAAATCCAAGTGCCAACAGGGCAGGATGGTAGCTTACATGTGTACACGATGGATGAACAAGTTCCAGCCTTGTCTAATACTCTTCTCGACCTGTCAAAAACTGCCACCAAAGTGTCCTCCACCCGCATAGCCTGACTAATGGGGTTTCTAGATAGGGCTTAGCACTGACCCCAGTGCTCCCTGCTGGCTGGATTTGGGAGGGAGAAGCCACGAGATGGCACCCTTGGTCTGGAGGAAACCAAATCTCCATCTTGACGATAAAAGTACATGGCTTGGAGACCTAGCGGAGGGATCTGTAGGTCCTGGGTCTTGCCATAAGCTGCTCCAGAGCACTGTGCCCTTGGTCATCCATAAAGGAACGACAAAAGTATTTCCCTACTTCGCTATGAGTGGTGAGGGAATAAATGCATCCAAGAAGTGCTGGGTGACCCAGGGGTGTCCTTCACATAACTGCATTGGGTTCCCTCTTTCCTTGGGTTAACCCTGGCACATGATGCCATTGCACTCCAAGTGCAGGAGTATCACACACCTTTCGACTGGAGGCTTCTCCTTTAAAACATCAGCCATCATCTTGCTGGTGGGAGGGAGCTTGTTCCAGCCTGAGAAGAATAGAGAAACCGAGACCTACAGCAGCACTTAAAGCTAAAAAGTTCACCCCCCTTGTATGTTCCCAGCCCCTTTACTGAGTGTTCAGTCTCAGTGACTAACTTGATGGTTACAGCAGTGTGTGTGGAGCGGCAGAAATGTGGGGATGCACTTGGGGGGGGCAGACACTACAGTGCTACTAGTGCCCATGGCTACCGTGGGCACTGTGACAGGAGCCAAAATATGCCCTAGGCTCAGAGAGAGAAGGTCAAGCTGCCCCAAGCCTCCCACCCTAGAAGATTATCACATCCTTTCACCCTGTCTCCTACCTGCAAAGATCCCTGTCACCCAGCGAGCCTGCATTTCTGCTCCCACCATCACAGAACCGGTCAGCTGGACTAAGCCAATGATGGCCAGTGTTGGCTTTTCCAGCTGGGGAGGAAAGATGCGTTTATAGAGGGAACGGTTATCATTGAAGAGGCTGCGAACTGACTCTTCAAGGAAAGAAAATGGGAAGATGTAGCCTGTGGCAAACAGCACCACGTCAATGTTTTCTTCAGTTGTCCCATCTTCAAAAACAGCAGACCTTTCCGTGAACTCCTTCACGTTTGACTTCAACACAATGGTCCCAGAGAGGAGGCAAAACGGCAGCTCTTCATTGACAATTACCTTAAAGTTGGAGCTTGCAGGTGGAAAAGAGGACAGCAGTGTTAGCATCTGGGAGGGACGTGAAACATCTTTTGTGGCCACGGTTCCCCTCCAATGGTTTGCTATTCCACAAATATCCCCTGAACTTCAAAACTGAGCATTTCACACCATTAAACCCCTCAGACTAACCAACAAAATAGTTAGAAAAAACACCTTTTGGTGGAAGCCAAGCCATAGTTTGCATGGTTAAACCATGAATTGAACTTCCGAAACCTGATCCTCCTCATGAGTGCTGATGGGAAAAGCCAGTCAAGAAAGTGGTTGAAGCGGGTGGTGCTGATCATGTCTAAGGGGAAGCCTTGGTCTGAGAGCCGACTGACTACCCATGTGCTGCTCCTGACGCTGAGGAACACCTGGAGGAAAAGGCAGCTCTCAGCCTCCTGCCCAGACATCTCGTTGCCACTTTTGCCTTGAATGGCAAATCCCACCTCCTGCACTTGGGAGCCAAGAGGGTTATCCCAAGGGCAAAGGACAGCATCTGGATGAACCAAACAGCTCGTGGTGGCTTCTGCAAAGTTCCAGCATCTGCTGAATGGCCACTGCTCAGGTGGCCCAGACTCTCCAGGAATTGCAGAGCTTCTTCAATTGCCCTCAGTTTGAAGTGCTGTTTTTTGCTGCTGGTGGGAAAAGCTTCCTGCGTGTACCCTGAGCCACCAGCTCTTGTGGCTGAGCACCATTGCAGAACTGTACCTTTGCAGCCACATGGCTCAGTTCCACAGAGAGGTCACCACCAGTGTTGCCAATGCCAACCACAAGGACCCTCTTTCCCCGGAAAGCCTCCGCATCTTTGTATTCCTGGCTGTGGAGGTACTGCCCTTTGAAGCGAGTGTCGATACCTAGGCAGAAAGCAGGGAGCATCTCCTACTGCCAGATACATTGGCTTGCCTCACTCAACTTCATTCCTAGACCCTCTGCAACTCCTGACCCTCCACCACCCACCTCTGCTTGCAGCTGAGAAGCTGTAGAGATCTCAGCTCCCAGAGTGATGCCACCCTCCTGCACAGTCCTGCTTTGCAAATTCTCATATAGGAGCCTAGCTGCACCTTTATGAGGTGTTTTTCCCAATCTCGGGAATGCCCCCCACCATTTCTATGGGGTGAGGGTCCCACCTGCCCCAGCATGGAGGCTTCATGGAGCAGGCAGGCTTGCAGAGGAAAATGCAGCCAAGGGACCCATGGATGCTGCATGAAACCCCAGGGGAGAAGCCCCAGCCCCCCTTCCTGCTGAGGCAGGATTTACCTGGGAAAGAAGCCAGTGGTAAGTAGGGCTCCTGGAAATGGCCAGTGCAAACCATGACGGCATCAAAGATGTGCGACTTCTGGATACCATTGGTCTCAGTGACCACCTCCCACTGGCCTGAGGTGGCGAAATCCGGGCGCTTCCTCACACTGAGAACTGTTGTCTTGCACCAAAGCCCAACAAAACAGCAGTCAGGTACTGCACTGCGTTTCACAAAGGACCATCCTGCAAAGGGTGGGGCTGGCAGGGGCAGGCTGGGTCCCTGGGGAGCTGCATATCACCTCTGAAGCTGTTAAATCCCATGCTGCACCTTCCCCCTGG